GGGAGGTACTCGAACCTTCTAAGCGCCAAACTAATGAAATTCGTAAAACATGTTCGTATTGTCGTTTTTTCGATAGTAAAAGATACTGCGAATTTTATTAATTTCTCTATTAATTATTCACGAGTAATCCAAGTGCCTAGAAATGTAATAGGCACATACGCGTGTGCAGAAGTCTGAAATCTGGACTGCTGAACGTCCACGTCACCAACTTCGAAATTCAAATTATAATTACGCGTCAGCGTGATTATAGGTTTTGGTTATCACGTGAATAAATTTATAAGAGTCGCCAATGATTTGCGTCGGGACGCCATCGTTTTGATAGTTTTCAGGGAAAATATTGACCAAACGTTTGAACAAGGGTTATATGACACTGACCGGTTGGTTGAACTGGGTTAAAAGAACACTCGTATCCATTACTGAAGTGGTGAAAAAAGAGGCAAATGAAACCAGACAGAGAAAGAGAGAAGAAACGTGCTAGGTGAAATGTAAAAGAAAATAATATATAATAAAAATGAAATACGACTCTCAGAGTTCGACTGTCAGCCGGTTTAAAAGTCCGGATCGCCAGTTTTCATTAGGTGAATGCGAATCGCCGTAGAAATATCACTTTGCGCGTTTCGCATCCGCGGAAATGGATGGCGCAATTTTGTATAATGGAACAAGGAGGATCTCATGAATAAACGTTGCATCGCGTTTGATCGTGGTCAGTTCAGCTTAGGTGAAATATCGTGGTCAGTGGAGAGTCCGACGGTGACCTCTGGCCTGTACGTTGGAGCCAGAGCAACGTGCCTGCCAACGCGAACTGAACGCAATAAGATCTGAGAAATCTCGTACGATTTTACATGACAGAAACACCTTTTCATAAATCATAGCTAATAAATATTCTTGATTCATTCATACGGCCAAGATGCCTCGTGGATGCTGTAGAGGACCGTAACAATTTTATTTTTTTTTCAATACATCGCTCCACCGTAAAAATGTTTCACGCGTTAAATCACTATTCATTTTACGGTACCTTCTTAAGCTCTATACACTTTGTATACGTCGCTCATTCATACGATAAAAGTTGAAAAAGAAACAAGTAGAGCTTTTCGTAATAACCACTCGAAATTTTTAGGTCAATCAATGACTATATCCCTGATACGAGGGGTTGGCATCGAACGGTCGAAAAAAAAATATAAATCCCACAATCCCCTATGACAAGTACCAATAGACATAAGGGGTTTCAGCGGTACAGGAAATGGTATATGGAAGTAAAATTTCGCAGTAACACGGAATCGCGGCAATGTGAAAGGGGTGGTTGCCGGGATGGTTGGTTGCTGGTTGGAAGGACGCATGTTTATGCTGTTCCGTTGGGGCGTGAAGTTTACAACTATTCGGTAGTTATGCGAATCTCCGCTTCCTTTCGCGGGTAGGAAAACGGCGGAACGCCCGAGAACAATTTTCCGACGTGAAGTAGGTACTTCTAGCGGAAGCTTTCGATGTGGGCGTCTACCGGAAAATTATGCCCCCCACCCATCCCCCCTCCATACTTGCCACCCCTACCACATCCTGAAATCGTGATTAACCTACATCCTCGGGCGGCTCTTTGACGATCATTATTACCTGCCATTATACCATTATTAGGGCGAATCGATGACGCCGGCCATTTTTTTTCTCTCAGCCCTTCCCTGCCTACCACCCTTTTTTACAACCACCCTTACGACAAAGCTTAACGACAGGTTTCTCGTTTCGACTGTCCCTTGGCTACCGGAAACGACCGTCCGTAGCCCCGACGATTTCCGATTTCATCTGCGTCTCTTTTACGGTACTTGAAATTGTTATTTTCCGCAACGCAGATGTCACACGAGCTTGATTAACCATGGACCTGCAACCGTATACGTGCCTCAGAGGCATAGCTTTTTAATTCAACATAAAATCCAGTGGAGCACCGATCAAGTGAAACGGATATTAAAAGTTTCGTTGTTGCCGTGAAAGGGGGCGAGGAGGTCAGAGATCGAAGGCTACTGGTTATAAAAATAAATTCTTTCATCGAAGAGTAAGCGAAGTATCCATCTAGAGTATAGACCTTACACGAATGGGGATGAACCAGATGTGGAGAACGGAAATTAATAACTGGAGAACATGCCGGATGACCTCTTGGCACGACAGACGGGGAACCGTTTCGCATGTAATGCGTTTGTACAGATTTACACGAAATTTGCAAGTCAATAAGACTAGACTGTGCTGGGGATATTTCGTCTGCGACATATTCAGATCAAGTGCATATTAGCATCCCGTACGTAGAGCAAGACACGTAAGACATGCTCTGTGCTGGGC